AAAAAAAAAAAAAAACCAAAATCCCGAAAATTCCCCCAAATCCCAAAAAAAAAAAAAAAAACTCACCACGGTGACGTTCCAGATCCGCGCAAAAAAAAAAAAAAAAATGGAGACGCTGGAGCAGCCGGGCATGAGGATGATCTTGAACGGGAGGTTGTAGAGCAGCTCGTAGAGCAGCTTGGTGGCCTGGCCGGGGTCACACTGAGGGGACAGTTGGGGACAGTCCCAGTCCAACCAGTGCCAGCCACCGGGAATCACCAGTTCCAGGCAAAAAAAACCCCAAAATTCCCAAAAAAACCACCCCAAAAACCCCAAAATCCAAGGTTGGACCCATAAATCCAAGATGGCGCCAGGCGTGGTCAGGGTCACACTGAGGGGACAGTTGGGGACAGTCCCAGTCCAACCAGTTTGAACCACCAGGATCTGCCAGTTCCAGGCAAAAAAACCTAAAATTCCCCAAAAAAAAACCCACCCCGAAACGACCCCAAATAATTCCAAAAATGGCCCTAAAAAATCCCAAAATGACCCTAAAATGGCCCAAAAACAGCCCCAAAATGGAACCAAAAATGGCCTAAAAAATCCCAAAAGTGGACACGAAAATGGACACAAACCCAAAAAATCCCATTTTCTGTCAAAAAAAATCCCATTTCAACCCAAAAAATTCCCTAAAAATCCCATTTTCAACCCAAAAATCTCATTTTCAACCCCAAAAATCCCATTTTCAACCCCAAGAAATCCCAATTTTCCCCTTTTTTCCCCCATAAAAATCCGGGATTTCCGGGATACCAGAACTGGGGATCCCCTCCCCCACTTTTCCTTTTTTTTTTTTGCCCATTCCAAAGGAAAAATTCCATGAATAATTCAGGGCACGGAAAGGTCCGGAAAAGGAGCCGAGCCGTTGCCACGGCAACGCTCAGCAGCATCCCCCCGTTGCCGTGGCAACAGCGCTGGACCGGTTTGGGGGGGGACGACATTTTAGGGGGGTTTGGGACGGCCAAAAATCCAGGAAAAATCCCAGGAAAAACTGGGATTTTTGGGGAGAAAGATGGCGAATTTTTGGGGGGGAAATTTGGGGGTTTTTGGGGGGGAAATCAGGATTTTTAGGGGAAAAATTTGGATTTTTTTTTTTAGAGGGAAAAGTGGGGATTTTGGGGGGAAAAATGGGGATTTTGGGGACAAAAATGGGGAATTTTGGGGGAAAAAGTGGGGATTTTGTGGGCAGCAAATTGGGGGTTTGGGGGGGAAAATTTGGGGATTTTTTGGGGGAATTTGGGATTTTTTTGGGGAAAAAGTGGGGATTTATGGGGGAGAAAATTGGGGTTTTTTGGAGGGAAATCTGGGATTTTGGGGGGAAAAACTGGAATTTTGGGGCCTCCAATCTGAAATCCCGGTCCCATTCCTGATCTCCTGCCCTAAATCCCATTCCTGACCCTGTGCCCCAAATCCCTTCCCAACCCCATCCCAATCCCATTCCCACCCCATCCCGGTGACCCCAAAACTCACCCCAATCCCAAAGTCACCCCAATCCAACCCTGGTGACCCCAAAACTCGCCTCAATCCCAAACCTGACCCCAATCCCATCCCGGTGACCCCAGTCCTCACCCCAATCCCAAACCTGACCCCAATCCCATCCCGGTGACCCCAAACCCGACCCCAAACCTCTTCTGGTGTCCCCCAACCCCAATTCCCCAATCCCAACCCCATTCCCGGTGTCCCCCAAACCCCAACAACCCCTGACCCCATCCTGGTGACCTCAAATCTGATCCCAACCCCAATTCCTGACCCCAAACGTCAAGTCCTGACCTCAAATTCCAATTTCTGACCCCAAATCCCAATTCCTGGCAGGAATCCTGACCCCAAAACCCCAAATCCACACCCCAAAACTCCGGTACCTTGCTGTCGACGTGGATGAGGCTCATAGTTGGGCAGGATGTCACAGCACTTAACGATGTCCTCCAACCCCAATTAACCCAAACCCTGACTTCTGACCCCAAATCCCAGTTCCTCACTGTAAATCCCAATTTTTGACCCCAAACTCCCCATTTTTGACCCCAAAGCCCCAAAACTCCCAGATCTCGACCCCAAACTCCCGTACCTTGCTGTCGACGTGGATGAGGCGCAGCTCGTAGTCGGGCAGGATATCATGGTGCTCATTGATGTCCTCCAACCCCAATTAACCCAAACCCTGACTTCTTACCCCAAATCCCAATTCGTCACTGTAAAATCCCAATTTTTGACCCCAAAACCCCAAAACTCCCCATTTTTGACCCCAAACTCCCGTACCTTGCTGTCGACGTGGATGAGGCGCAGCTCGTAGTCGGGCAGGATGTCGCGGCGCTCGTTGATGTCCTCCAACCCCAATT